GAGGTATTCAGCGGGTCGCATGAGGGGTGCGCTGCATCCTGCTAAGGGTGTTTGGCACCTTGTGCTTGCTTCCTTTCATACGGATGACAGTTGCGAATGACTTCATTTAATTTCTGGTGCTTTCACTTCCAGAGACAGTTACAAGCACTGTGTAACTGCCTCGAGGGTGCTTGACCGATTTGACACAACGTGGTGCGATTATCCCCTTTGCGCGGAGTGAGGGTTCTCGACCCCGCACAACATGATCTACTCGACCACCATTATGGTTACCGCAATGAAAAAAACATTGGCAAGAAAAAAAGTGGCAAACTGGTTGTCGAGCTCACGATATGATGGGCTTGTTTTACACCGCCGTTGCCAAGCGACGACACCGGGAGGGGGGATTCAGGAGGGTCTCACAGTTGGCTATGTTATCCATGTCCGGGAGACAGAAGTGATGTATTGGGATGTGGTGCTTTGTAATTTTTTTGTGTTTACTGTCGTAGGGCCGGCACGGGTACTCGATGGCTCAGCAGCATTGAGGACAAAAAAGGAAGGGATGTGGGGGTTACTCATCGTCGTGCATGCCGTAGTCGTTAGACCGTTGACCTCGCATCCCTACAAAGCCGGGACGGAGCTCGCCGGGTTTTTGCTGGACCAGGAGAAGTAGGGAGGTGTTGAACGCATACGGCGGGTCTCGCGTGCGAGACGGTGGCTGGTGCTTGCACACACGCCCCCGTTGGCAGCCGCGGTGGCTCGATGCGGGTGGCACCGCCGTAGTGGCATTAAAACGGAGGTCGAAAACCAAGAACAGGCCGGCTTGACCGTGCCAAATTTCCCTCTCTCATGTTACAGGGCATGTGTGTAACCACGAAGGTCTCCGCGGCGTGTTGTAGCGGTGATCCCATGATTGGTTCACACACACACCTCTTTGTGTGCTGTGTCCGTGTATAAACAGCACCTGGAGAATGAGGAGCAAACAGAATGTAAGACGGCGTAGCTCCCCCTGACATACCGACAACTTACCACTACAAGCTGTCTGGAAACACACTCATGTCTTGATGACACATGTCTCTATCGTGACCAGATGCTAGAACTAATCGCGTCTCTGTCGTACTTGCTGTTGCCTCGCACAAGATGCTGAAACTGATCGCATCTCTACGATATCTCTGTCGTACTTGCTGTTACCTCGCACAAGATGCTAAAACTTATCGCCAAGTTTGTGGGCAAGCCGAAGGACGAGTCGGAGCTGGCTTTCGTCACCAACCCTAAGGCGCAGAAATTCATGGAGGACCTCCCGGAGTACCCCCCGGCGGACCTTAGGAGGCGATTCCCGTCTGCCGGAGCTGATGCGGTGGACTTGCTGGCGCGCATGCTGGTGATGCGGCCCGACCGGAGGCTATCCGTGGACGAGGCCCTGAGGCACCCATACCTGAGGAGTCTCCGTGACAAAAAGGTGTGTTGTGGTTGTTGTTGCAGGTGTCTTGTTGTGGTCATCTTTTGGAGAAGTGGTATTGTCGGTACACCCTCTCGCGGATCTTGCCATGCGTCAGTGTTTCGCGTTGGTTGATTGTGGTCGGTTTTCGACCTGCTAGTTGCAGACAGACTGGCGGATACCATAATTATGATTGGTTGATGAGTTAGTGTGTAGAGAACCTGCACGGTTTTGTTTAGTTGTTGCCGTTGGGGTTGTTGGCTACCTCACCTGTACTCTCGTCCCCAACTGCTGATTGCGTAAGGAGTTGTTTAGTACATGGAGCCAAGAGGATTGTCGCACTGGTCACTAGGGAGGGGATGACGCATCTCCTCTGCTATGTACTGCGCACGACTGTGTCGTCTTCTGCTGTGTGATGCACCGAAACCAAACGCGTCTACGGGTGGTACGGTCACCTCGGACCGCCTTGCTGGCGCAACTTATCTCTTGCTGCAACGCTCCCTCTCGCTCTTATATTCGGGTGATCCAATACATTCGTCGCAATGCGCTGTCGGTTTTTCTGCGCCTGTTGAAAAGGCGGAGACAACTGCGCTCGAACCGGTGGACTTCGCGGACGTAGAGCTCGCCCCGCTCAACAAGAACAACCTGCGCCGTCTCATGCACGAGGACGTGCTGGCCTACCGCCCGGAGCTGCGCAGCCCTGCCGCGGGCTCGAGCCTGCCCGAGCCTGCCTCCCGCACCGGCGGCCGCGAGGCCGCCCGGGACGGCAGCAGCCGGGGGTCGTCGTCGACCATGGCAGGGGCGCACCCGCCGCCACCCCCCAACGGCGCGGCGGCCTACGGGGAGTCGTCGCACACGTCCGGCAGCAGCAGCAGCCGGGTAGCCAACGGGGGGCCCGCGAATACGCACGCGGGAATGGGGGGGGGGGGGCACCCCCCGGAACGGTCCTCCAGGTCCGACCCGGAGGGGAAGAACCCCCGCCTTTCCGG